GTACTATTATTATTGTAAAACATTCAAACAGAAAAATTATAAAAATGATAATAATGATCTGTATTTATTGGGTACTTACCATGAGGGGTACTAAGTGTTATGTACATTATTATGGCCTTTAGTTCTCTCTCTCTCTCTCTCTCTCTCTCTCTCATTCCCACACATGCATACACACACGTGCATACACATAACCCTGAGAGACTGGTCACCGCCATTTTATAAATGAGGGATTGAGGGCACCCGGAGCTTAAACAGCAACACAAAGCAATACAGCCAAAAAAGGAGCCGAGCTAGGATTGGAAACCAGGTCTTTTTAATTCCAAAGGGCCATGTGTTTTTAACCATTATAATTAAAATTGTCCGTAATACCAACACTCAAAGAAAAACATACTAGCTTTGATGTTTTTTGAGGTTTAAAAAAAACCCTTTGAAGAGGGATCAGATCATGTATACTTGTCAGATGAGCACTTTTTACAAAAATAATTTATTGTTGTTGCATATTATTCCATTTTATGCATGCACCATAACTTATTAAATGCATTCTACATTGGCAAACAAATTGAACATTTAGGCTGATTTAGGAGGCAATATAGTATAGTGATTAAGAACATGTATTCTGGAGGCAGACCGCCTGAGTTTGAAACCTATGGGTGTGATAAAGCTCTGTTTTTTTGTTTGTTTTCTTTTGTGCCTCACTATCCTCATTATTAAAATGGGGATATTTTGTGAGAAATAAAGGTGCCTTACTTATAATATATGCTGTATATAACTGTCAACTATTTCTATTATTATAAATGGCATTATAATGAGCATACTTTTGTATTTTCCAGATTTTCTTGAGATTAATACCAGTAATAAATGGTAATTATGTGAGGTGCTAACTAATCCTACTGTGGTAATCATCTCGCAATACATGTATGAAATCATCACGTATGTTTTACACTTTAAACTTACACAATGTTATATGTCAAATATATCTCAATAAAACTGGAAAAAAATACCAGAAGTAAAATTATTGAGTTAATGATCAACAAAATTTTAGGACTTTTGATAGTTAATACCAAACTGTCCTCCTAAAAGGTTTTTTTTAAAAAATCAATTTCCACTCTCATCAGTAGGGAATAAGTGACAGTTCCCCACACTCTGACAATACTGATTATTATTATTTTTTAAGTCTCTGCCAAGCTGAAGGACAAATTGTGAATTTTATTTCTAATGAGGTTAAACATCCTTTTATATGTTAATGGTGGTTTATATTTCTTTCCTTTGAGTATTTCATGATTCTTGTATTTCAGTATTTGTTTTTTCTTATTGGTTTGTGGAGATTCTTCAAATTGTAAAGATAAAAAACATGTAGAATTTCATACATATTGCAAATATTTTTCCTGGTTTGTTACTTGACTTTGCTTCTTTTTCTTCTTGCCATAAAGAAGCTCATATTTTTTATTTTATTTATTTATTTATTTAGCTGAGCCATCCTGCCACCTGTTGGCAGCTCAGCTCAGGCTGGGAATAAAAACGGCGACCTTGTTGCTCAGAGCTTGCACTCTTGAGCGAGCGCTTAAGCAGCTCATATTTTGATGTAATCAAATACACTAGTCTTTTTTTGTCTTGGTTTCTAACTTTGGTGTTGTCAATTAATTTTGACCAAGAACTGCTAACAGCTTTATTGAGGGTCCTTAGGAATTATAACTCTGGAGCTACAAACTTGGATAGAAACCCAAGGGGGAAAGAAAGAGACAGAGTTTATAAAGACAGAAAAAGGGGGGCTTCCGAAGGGTTTACACAAGTTGTTTTGAAAGAGCTGTGACTGGTATTGAATTGGCAAGCCAACTTACACTATGCTATACCTGAGTGTTGCTTATGTCTATTGCTAGGTGAAAATTTTATTTCTTAATAGGGAGTTCAGTCATGCAGAGCCAGTTCCAGGAACTGTATCAAGATGCAGCCATTGTAGTTTAGTCCAGTTCAAAAATTCAGTTTTACATGGAAGGGGTGTGTTGGCTCAGTTTCCTCTAT